TACAATAGTATCTATAAGAATAAAGCAGGACTTTGTGAGTAGAGGATAACACATTTATTTATTCACTATTGTATTTTTATTACCTATTTCCAGAGGAAACAAATATTACATACAGCCAATGTTTATGCTGCCAATCTGGAGAGCAGTAGGGTTGATGGCAATTATTGCATTATAACAAATTTGAAGACATATTTTAGAAAAGGAATAAGATCTTATTACAATTACTGAGAATTATACAGAAAAAACAGTGGACTTGAACTCTGAAAACTTGGATTTGAATCAAGGTTCTGCCATCTGTTGTGCACGTGGGCAAATTATTTCTCATCTTTGAGTCTTTTTTCTCATCTATATAATGAAGTTAAGAATTCTAACTTCACAAGATCATAAGGAATAAATTAAGTATTAATACTCACGTAGTCTGGCATATAATACAGACTCAATAATATATTTGCTCACTTTTTGCCCTCTCATTTGTCCATTCACTCAAATATATCTTGTTGCCAGTATATATATGTTGCCAAATATAAGGCAACAAAATAAACTGGAGATATTGTGAACCACAGAAAAGTGCTTCTTTTGTGAACATTTGTTATAAAAATACCTTTTTTCTTCAAGTGTTTAGTTTATTAGGACAAATATATGTTCACTTTTGGGGGATGATTATTTGTTTTGTTGTAGTGTAAGCACACATTTAAAGCCAAAAAAAATGCATCTTGCAATTATGGTGAACACAGACATTGTGGTTTTATCCATTTGCCTCACAGCATGATACTATGTACTCTGCTTCTAATCAGCATTATTATTATTATTTTTTTTTGTCTTTTTCCGTGTCCGGCAACGGATCGCAACCCTCAGTGCTGCCCCCGCACCGGACCGGTCCCCGGTGTTGCTCCCGCGCCTCGCTCAGCCAGTGAGCGGGAACCGGTCTGTATGTGGGATCCGAACCCTCGGGCGGGAGCGCCGCCGCGCTTCCCAAGCGGCGCACTATCCAGTGCGCTACCGGGCCGGCCCTAATCAACATTATCTTACCAAACACTGTAGATAATTACTTTTATAAAATCTCAAGTTCAATAATAAAGTCTATAGACTCTATTCTAAAAGAAAGATGAGATGGAGGATATCTTAAAGGACTGCAGTCAGGAATCTCGGGTTCCACTTTTGGTTGTTACTATCTCAATCAGACTTCTAATGAGGCATATAACCTCAGTTTCCCTATGCCTTATTATTATTTACCACTTAGAATGATGTGATAAGATCTGCCTCTTAACAATGGTGCAACACTTAATTGGTGTTTGTAACGAAGCTTGAAGTACACAGACAGATGTTTTTAAAGAAATGCAAAGTATTCAATTAGCTTATCAGTACCTGTCTGTGCTTTGGCTAAATTTTAATTTTATATTAAATTTATACTAAAATGTAATTTTAATTTTCTTACTTCCTGCCTGGTAAAACATAGAAACACCTAAAACATTAAAAAAACAAAAAACATGCTGCATAAAAACAAAAGCTTTAAACAAAACGACAAAAAGTATTTTCTTTCCATTTGATTTTGGAGACAATTACATACATACAAGAATTTTTGATTGGGTGCTCTGTAGGGTGACCAAACCACCCCAGTTTGCCTGGGACTTTCCAGTTTTAGCACTGAAAATTCCATGTCCTAAGAAATTTCTGTCCTGAGCAGACTGGTATGGCTGGTCACCTTAGTGCCCTGCCATTACTAGGGATTTTTCTGTATCTTGCAGTTCTATTTTCTGTCCTTAGAAATATTCCAGTGCTATCTTAATTTCTATTTATCTGAAAAGCACCTGAATATTGTTCCTGTTGGTATTTAGTTCATAACCACTTGGTGAGCATATAAATATTTACTGAGTTTTTCTTCATGAGTAGATATTAAATAAACACGCCCTAATATTGATCTTAGTAGGACATGGAGACAATGGGAGTACCAAATTACCAACAATGATTATTTTGGCACCAAGAAAGCATTAACTTGTCTATTTTCTTTTTCAAAGACCTTGTCCTGTTGTTTACAGACTACTGTACTTCTACCTGGTAATCACCACCATAGCTGAGAAAGCAATAACACAGGTAATACCTTTAAGAGCAAGTCATTTGAAAAAACAATGTATGTGGGTCATCCCTTGGCCAATTTGGGGCCAGAGAGAAGTTGTTCTACCGGTTTTCCTTAAATAGCACAATAACCTAACCCAAATCTAAGATAGTTTCCAAACTATGAATGGAATGAATGTTGCTGAGAATCTGGTTATGAAGGTATATCCATGAATAGGACACCCAGAAATTCAGAAGCACTATGATACTGCCCATGAGATTATGGAAAAGGTTTCTGAGAAAAAAGCAGACTGATTTTTCTTCCCTAGAAAATGGGGATGACACAGATTGTGTACATATAAGCATAATTAAAATGAAACCAATTAAAAGGTTATAAAGCCAATTGGCTGTAGTTTTCCCACAAGGTGCAAGGTGACTTATGATGCTTTTTAAAAGTTCTAATTTTGTGAGCACTTAACTATGTGCCAGGTACTGTGCCAAGTGCTTTAAATACATTATTTCATTTGATACTCACAAATAAGAATTATAATCCTCCAAAGCAAAGCTCAGAGAGGTTCAGTAATTTGCTCAAGATTACAGACAGCAACTGGAGGGACTGAGGCAAATTCAGGTCTGTCTCCTTCAAGGCCTAAACTCTTCACCTTTATCCTGTGCTGATTTTCAACACTTTTGACATAAACTCTGGTAAAATTCTATCTACAGCTCTAACTTTTGCTGAACTTGTCTTGTACCTTAGTATATGGAACTGGCTTCTCAACACCTCCACCTGGAAGTCTAACAAGCACCTCAAACTTAACATGTTTCAGTAAATGGCACCACCATTCACCCAGTTACTCAGGCTCCAAATCTAGTAAGCACCCTTGATTCTTCCATCAACCCCACATGCAATCCATCAGCAAATCTGTTGGCTCCGCTTTCAAATATCTGAATTTGAACACTTATCATCTCCACTTCCACAACCCTACTTAAGCTATTATCATTATTCACTTGAACCACTGAGATAGCCTCATTATTGGTATCTACTTTCACAGTCCATTCTCCACAGTCAGAGTTATCTTTTTAAAAACACAGATCATATCGTTTCACTCTTCTGCTTAAAACCCTTTAATGCTTCCCATTACAATAATGTACACTTCTGAAGATGGCCTACAAGGTCCTACTGGCCCCCTGCCTTGATCTGCCTCTCTGACTTTATCCCTTAACACTCTCTTCTCTGCTCTGCATATTTCAGTTACATTAGTCCTGATATTTTTCAAATTTGTCTGTGACATAGTCATCTGCTCTGAGAGGATTTGAAAGGGCAGGGTTTGAGGGTTTAAGGAAACTGGCAAAGGTGGGAATGAGCTGCCTAGAGTAGAACAATTCAAAAAATTGAACAAGATTTCTGGGTAGTATTCAGGGATCAGTTGTGCTTGGTGATTGAAATTTAATAATAGAGTGCATATGGCTATACATATTTCTCCAATAGTGGTCAGGTGCTCCAGTACCAAAGGGGAGGATATGGATGGTAGTATTCATTCAAGGTAAGGGTACTATGAAAAGAAAGATAGGGCAAAGGAATTTAGGGTACTAAATGTTACTGAATTTTTTTCTGTAGGTATACCACAATAGGGATGGGGTGGAAAGAAGGGCTGCTTGTGTCCATAGCTTGCCCCAGTTGCAATCAAAGGACCAAGATCTAATCTACTCCCGCTGATGTTAAAAGCTTTGATTTGTAAATCCTGAGATGATTTTAAGAAATCTGATTGTTTAAAAAATTACAAAATGGGCAAATTGGTAGAGGCTTATTTACATATAAGGAATTTTTCACTTTTCAAAATCATTTTCCAAAGGGAATCTACAGGATGAACAGTAACGCTTGCCAATAATTAGGGATTCAGATTTTTAAAGATTTTCAGTCTGGCCAATCCTTCAAGTTATCTCAAGAGGGAGCCTTCTTATGCTTACTCTTCCTTTGGATCACCTTTCTGGCTCTCCTGTTCTATTTACAAGAATTTAAGCCCACTCTTAGAATGTGCATGCTTTTACTGACGTGACCCCTGATTAACTTGCCTAATATTTTTCCATTTACTCTCCTTGCCCTTTAAGCTCCCCAAACTATTAACTACTTTACACTTTTTGTGCTTTTGCTTCCGTTGTTCTCTCAGGCTAGACCATCTTCCCTACCTACTCTGTTGAACTCCTCACCATCCATCAACACTGAGTTCACACTGCACACTTCCAGAAAAGAGACAAGCTCTCTCTCTCTTGCTACATTTGGTCCTTATAGTTATTTCTATTATTGCCTGTACTGTGTTGCAGTATAATGCACTTCATATACTATACAACATAAAATACTTATTATGCATTATAAAGCACTTTTATGATTGAAGTTTTAGGGCACCCAGCCGTTAAAACAGGGCACGCGTTCTGCAGTCTTGGCTAAGTCCCTTTCTTTCTGAGCCTCAGGTACCTCAGGTATAAAATGGGTACTATGGCTCTGTGAAGACGAGAGATAATGTACGTAAAGCCCTTACACAGTGCTCAATTAAGGCAAGCCATGGCTGTTTACATTGTCTATGGCCCCCAAGGGCTGCTTATCGAGCTCAGTTCAGGAAACGCCTCTTTAAAATGACGTCACTATAGAAGACTTAAAAACCACTGCACGTCTGTACAAGTGGACAGATTGACACGAACTACTTAAAGTGTAGTTCACCTGTCACACTGTTTAGAGGTTCCGCGTACAACCGATTTCCATTCAGTATCCCAGGCAACAGGAATTTTAACTCAACAGCTGAAGGCTTCCGGGAATTACCCTGGGGCGGGCGGGAGGTGCCTTTCCGGCCGGGTGGGAAAGCTTCCCACGGGATTGCTTCAGGGGGCTGGATCCCTACGGTTTGCGGGAAAGGCTACCTCCTGGGCGGGCCCCCCTCTCGGAGACCAGAAAGATGCGGGCAGCCTCTTCCTGTAAAAGGTCGACCGGCCTCTGCCCGGCCCAAAGAACGACCACGGACCAAATCCAGAGAGCGATCTCCACGCCGCCGCGCTCCCAGGCCCTGGCCGGCTGGGCCGTGGGGTCTCCTCGCACTCCACGCAGGGGCAGCGGGGCGGGGCGCAATGACGCAAAGAGGAGTGACGCGAGGACGCAGCGCGACGCGGTGACGCACGCCCCTTTGTTGGCTCAGTAGCGGTAGCAGCGGCGGTGGAGGTGGCGCTGGGGACTGTTTTCTCTCCAGGCCGGAGCGGAGCCGTGTCTGACTGAGGCGGGCAGCAAGCGGCCCCCTCGCTCCCTCCCTCCCTCCTCCGCGCCCTCCCCGCCGCCACCAGCCGCCAACCGCCAACCGCTGCACCCGGGGAGGAGCCGCGGCCCTCGGGGCCGGAGCCAGGCCTGCGTCCGGACATCACCCGGAGCCGGAGCGAGAGCCGGGGCCTCAGCGTCCCCGCCCTCTCCCCGTCTCGGCCAGCGTCCGCCAGGCCCCTGCGCGTCGCGCCATGGACTCGGACGAGGGCTACAACTACGAGTTCGACGAGGACGAGGAGTGCAGTGAGGAGGACAGCGGCGCCGAGGAGGAGGAGGACGAGGACGAGGACGAGCCGGACGATGATAACCTGGATCTGGGCGAGGTGGAGCTGGTGGAGCCCGGGTTGGGCGTCGGCGAGAGCGAGAGCCGGGGCCTCAGCGTCCCCGCCCTCTCCCCGTCTCGGCCAGCGTCCGCCAGGCCCCTGCGCGTCGCGCCATGGACTCGGACGAGGGCTACAACTACGAGTTCGACGAGGACGAGGAGTGCAGTGAGGAGGACAGCGGCGCCGAGGAGGAGGAGGACGAGGACGAGGACGAGCCGGACGATGATAACCTGGATCTGGGCGAGGTGGAGCTGGTGGAGCCCGGGTTGGGCGTCGGCGGGGAGCGGGACGGACTGCTGTGCGGGGAGACGGGC